CACAACGTTCAAGATGCCCACCTCTAATGTCAAATGGTGTATTCAAGCACGTAAAACATTAGCCCCGGATACATTCAAGAATTACATGTTAGCGATATTCTCATTGTTCCCAGAATCCCAGGCTAAATTATTGGCAAACAGTTACATCACAACTGGGTAGGAAATATAGTCGCAAGGCCATGGATTTACTTGTAGTTCACTCGATACAGCTCAATGCATCTGGACATCTGCTCTTGCTGAGAATCGTGGTGTTATAATTGACAATTATCAGAATCCAAACAGAAAACAAGAGCTGTATCTAATCAGAGAGCATCAAATTGAGTGCATATTCTCTGACAATACATCAATCAACCGCTTTGCTATCTCTCAGTCTATATTGATATGTCTGAACATGTTACATGACAGTGCGAGTCACGATAATCATGGCAATGGAACCAGGCAAGTGTATGCAATCAATACTGATGGCATATTTATGACTAATCCTAAACACCAATATCCCAGCAAAAAAGATGTCAAATTTACAACAGATAGTATCGGACAGATGTTTCAGACTGATAGTCCAGCCACATATTTCGAGAAACATTACAGGGAGAACTTTGATCCTGGTTATTACACTGATTATGTGGGCAATGGTGCCATTTATTATGGTGGAGCAGGTTGCGGTAAGACATATTGATTATGCCAGAAGGCACTGGCAGCTGATAACCCCATAATCCTATCATTTACTAATAATGCCATACAGAATGAAAAATCGGTATTGTGTGATGTGTACAATAATTATGAGTTAGCCAAGAAGTGTTATACATTTGATCTGTTCTTTTGTGATCATCACAGGCGTGACATAACAGCACTAGAGGGCAAAGCAATATTTGTGGACGAATACTCAATGACCCCCAATAAGTGGACGACTAAACTCTATCAGGCATTTACTAAATATAAGCTCACAATTTACATGTTCAGTGATACCAACCAATGTGACACCTTTGAACCCACGGATATGTTTTACGATTATTTCAAATCGGTGCCAATATCTGAGATGTGTCCACGCCACGTCAAAATGAAGTACATTGAAGACAATGCCCGATATGACCCACAAACAAGGGATCTATTGACAGAGTTTCTCAATAGTGGTAAACTCAAGCACGATTTTGAACCACCACAAGAAAGTTACCATAATATTTGTTATTTGAATAAAACAAGACGGCATGTTACTCAAGAATGCTGTAATAGATTCACAGAAAACTTGTGATATGTGGAGATCGAATTTAAGTACAAAGGAGAGGTATCAATGACGACTACCATAATGGTCAAATATATAAGATCACATTCAAACACAACAATAAATTGTACATTGATAGCTCTATCAGAAATTTACAAGAGCGGCTCAATGAACATGTGACCACAAAATCAAGTGCAATATATCAATACAAGGGTGACAACCCAGTGATCACACCAATAATACGCGCACCTTGTAAGGATCGTCAAGAATTAAACAGAGTGGAAATTGAATATATCAGGTATTATAGTGAAAAATATGGGGACCGTCTACTCAACAATCAGTCCCTAAACAGACGGTCAAAATTGAATACAAACATCAAGCGCAAATTGAGACAGAAAATCAATTGCACGACCCTCTGAACCAGAAATTTGGTGATAAACTCAAAATCAAGGATGACCCCATGAATAAGCTACTATACTACGATGCTAAGATTGATGGCAAACCTTATAAAACAATGGCCAGATATACCAAACAATCCAAAGAGGAAGCAATGTCAAAGATAACCAAAAAGCAACAACAACTGATCGGTGAATTGACAATCCAGTGGGAATAATAAGTTATCAGATCATGATATACAAATTTAGGGCAAATAATACTTGAAGACAAAAAATCTATATATAGTATATAGTAATGTGTAATAGAGAAGTTCACGAGATTTTTATCCAAGAGAGTTATGTTAATTGTATATTTTGAGATAAACAGATTCAGGATCCCGGTAAGCCCAGGCGATATTTTTGCTGTGATTCTGAGACTAATCAAGGAAGATTTCATCGTGTGTAAGAATTGCGGTCAAGTCCACGATCAATATTTTTCTTCCGAATATATTGACTTTTATGAGAATTGACTTGAATTGTCATCTCCCTCGGGAAACCTTCTTTATCAAAGGTCCCGCCTCGTAATGAAGTTCTCAGCCTGACTAACACTTTATCGTAAGTAGTGTAAGAAAACGGAGTCATCTCTATTTTCTTTTTGTAGTCTTTTGTCTCAGAGTATGTTTTAAGAGCTAAACCAGCACCTGTCACGCTTCCTATAATGGCTGCGTTAGCTGTCAAACCACCAGCAACAGTCCCGATTACTATCAGGCCAGTTGAGGACATATTTAATAGGAGATTTAGTTTTTTGAAGTATTTATAGGCTTTTTGGTAAATCCCATATTTGAAATGGCAATATTCTTTGATCTCCTGGATATCTTCCTTTATTTTGCTTTTGTCAATATGATTAAGGTGGAATATATTTTCCTTCTGACTCATTATATTAGCAGTTTAGACAAATTACAGAACATAAGAACTGTTCGTTTAGACAAATAATATAACATATGAACCGTTCAATTTCTCTTGAACCATTATTTGATGAAATTCGATAGAATCCGGGTCATGAAAGTTTGGAGTGTACATTATTTTATAGATCACTGCATCTTCTGAGGATATTCTGAATGTGTAGTTACTCTGAGATTCTAAAGCTGATGTTAGTGTTAGTGTTGCAGAATGATTGCTGATTGATGCCTTTACTGTTAGGTCACCCCCGTACCTTTCTTAGTTAACCAAAACACAACCCGTTTATCATTGAAACTATTTAGTAATGTGATAGAAGTTTCGTTAGTTGACCCAGCTTTCAGACTATTAGTTTGTAGTGTTAACTTCTTTGTTGTTTTGTCATAAATTAAATGTGGTTTTTCATCAGCTTCATTTCTCATGAACGTTTTAATATACATGGATCTGTTCAGCCATAGTCGCATAACAACACAAAGAGTAAAGCTCCTTTTACCAAATAATCCTAAACTCACTGGTTTATATTGTAACCTCAATCCGCCCTCCCAGATATTGGCAATATTCATATTGGTGAAATATATGTTAGGAAGTAACCTGTTAATTATCATACCTGATGGTTCTCCTGTGTCTACAATTTTATAAATACCAGCATTACTGAAGTCATTAAATTCCTGAAATATTTCCCTATACGCATTATTTGTTGTATGAGGGCTCAATTTTGTCTCCAAATCTTTGACCATCTTTACAGTAGCTGCCGAATTATTTTTAGTTTTATCTGGAGCAATGTTTAATATTTTCTTTCTGTTCATATCCAGATCAACATTGTTAACAACTTCAGTCGGCTTAATATCAAATGCCGTATGATAATCATATGTGTTTTGGGGATCAATTGATGACGCTTTTCTGAAAACACCTTAAGCAATCATCCAGTTTTTTGTCCAATTTTTTGAATGAGTATTGAGATCAATGCCCGATTGGGGTATATTAACATAAAGATCCAGAATGTAAAATGTATCTGATACAGTTTTTTGAAAGTTTTCAGTTATTTTGATATAATACATATATGCAGTTTTCCCACTACTATTTGTGTACCGGTGAGAAAACTTTTGTACTGTAAAACCAGCAACTGATACCCCCTTTGATGTGATTGTAGCAACTGATTTATGCCATAATTGGTAATCTGAATTGAGGATTTCAATACAGAGAGTATAGTCTTTATCTTTATCAAGTTCATAACAATTGATTCCCATTTTATAAGAGTATCCTCCTTGCTGATCCTTTATAATGGTTGTATATAGAACTTTGCGGTTGTATTGATGGTAGTTACCATCTTGGGGCATTAAATTATCAATTTTAGTAATGTCAAAACTATCCGCCTGAAGATCAGTCCATGCTAATTTATTAGTCATCAGGTACTTGAATTCATTATTGTAATGGCTGGGTTTAACATGATATTTTTCCAAATACTGCTTATTAACAGCATCAGTAGCATCAGTTGGGTCTCCAAGATTAATAATCTTGTTTTTAACCATATTAAATTTGTGGTAAACATACGGATTAGTAAGTTGCACAAAAAATGCATTTCCAGTGGACCGGCTTATTGCTTGATATTGTGAAGTAAGGATAGAATTGTTTAATATTATATGGCCAGTTACAGTGCCACCAGATAGTTTCAAATGATTATCATCTATGTATTTCTTATTAACCCCATCTTTATCATCAGTTGGTTTAGCAAGATTAGTGATTTTATTATTGGACATATTTAGTGGTCCAGCCATAACTCCACTGGACTTATCCAAGAATTTATTTTCTCACAATATTTTTGTAGCTGGTTGTTTATCACCATTTGGTTGTACTACATTGTATATCCGTTTGCTATTCATATCCAAATTGCCGGTCATTAAACCACCAGAAAGTGATAGTTTAGTATCAAGTTGCTGTTTTATTACGGCGTCGTTGGAAGCAGTCCCTTTAGCCATATTTGTCAGTTTTTTTGCTTGTCATATCATAACTCCCATCTGCTGTAAGATTAAAACCAGTGCCTGATGCACCGGTAGCACCACGAGCGCCAGTGGGGCCAGTGGGACCAGTAGGGCCAGTAAAGCCCCGAGGCCCACGAACACCAGTCGGGTCAATAGGACCATGAACACCAGTAGGGTCAATGGGGCCAATAGGGCCACGAGGTCCAGGAGGTCCTTGAGGGCCAGTAATACCGCGTTTTCCTTTTGAGTGTGATTGATTATAATTAGGTTGCGGATTAAAAATTCTCATTTTATAATAGTACATTAGATATTTCCATCCACTACTATTTTATTATTCAGTTATGTCCCTTACATGAAATCCATTTGCTTTTAACAGCTTGGCTTCTTCATTAGTAATTGGATCATCCATCCCAATAACTCTGCCAATAATCCGAGCTTGTTCTAAAGATTCATGTTTGTGATTAAGAAGTT